AGTATTCTCTGTTTATCTTGCAACCTCCGAGCCTGACAGAACTGAGCGTTGTTTTTTATGCATGTGTTTACACCCAACACTTGGACAAAACAACTATTGGAATATAAACATAAATGAGACTGAGAATAATTGTGAATGTTTCAGAAACAGGGGGGTTAAAATGCTCCATAGTAATTGCACATGATTGCAGCAAACAGTGAGGATCATGAGCTTGGAGGCCTTGGTAAACTTCAAACCAAGTGCTTGTTGGGTTTTTATGGAATCCCCCCAAATCCTGATCAAAGGGCCTAGGGATCAAGGTGCCAACCATGAACTGCAATAGGGAACCCTTGTTGGATTTCACTCCCATTTTCTCTCTTGCATCTATTCTTTGACTGTTGTTCTAATAAAAGCATCAAATGCCAAATATAAAAAAAGTAAGACTGTCATCTCCCTGGAATCCCCATCTTGACACTGTATTGTCTTCTTTTACAATACCAGTAGTATCTTCCCTTAAATAAATCCAGTTTTAAAATCTAAATAAGATCTTATGGACATGGCTTTGATCTATATGTATTCCATGTGACATTACCTTGTGCACTGTGTGATGCATATAACATTTTATTCTAGTGCGGGGCCATAGTTAACATTCCTGCCCTGTTACCCCCCAACGGCTCAGAGCCTCCCATTTTTGAGTCAGCCATTCCTCTGTGTGTGGAGGTAACAAGCCAGAACAGTCTGCATTGTACTGATGCTATTGAGAGACTGGACACAGATACAGCCCCCGGCCTCTCCATTCAGCCCTCTCGAAGTTACACCGTGGTCACATGGAGCTGAAAAGGAGGGGAAGAACCAGAGGAAGAGGAAATAGAAATGTCTTGAGGCAAATGGATAGAGGGAAGTAGGATTGATGGCGGATTGTAAAAGTGGAGATGTAGGAATTACGGCGTTGATGGAAAGAGACGGACAGTGAGAGAGAGAGAGAGAGGACACTGTTGCCAGGGGAAGAATTCTCCTCCATTTGCACATGCCAAGTGGACCGGCCATCCACGAGTGATTGATATGCAAAACAAGCCGGCAGCAGGCACTTTTTCTCTGCTTACGCTCACAGAACGGCAGGACACGGGATCAATGGCTCCATCCCATATCAAAGCCCACTCCGCCTCAGAGGCATAGGTGTACTCGATACCAAGGTTTCTGACCCGGGCCTAGCAGAGAGGTGGGCAGCACTGGACACTATTAGAGTAGAAGAAAGGAGGAGGAGGGTGAGAAAAGTCACATTAAAATCAGAGGTGGACGGATACACAGATCTCCAACACGGTCAAGACTGCTCAGGTCTCTGTCGGATGCAAGTTGTCAAGTTGTATAACCTCGCATCATGCCAGCATCCAGGGGAGGCAGGCTGCGTAGGAAGGGCTGCTCACTGGCCCGGAGGACCCAGCGGCAGGCCACAGCGGCATGGAGGCTGCTCTACAGACTGCTCTTCATGGTGAGCCCAGGATTGAGAGTCGATATTTAACAATGGTTATGCTTCAATATTCAATGACGTTTTTGAAGGGTCTTCATTAAAAGAGACTATAGAAAGTCATCAGCACTCAACTGTGTTTAAAGTTTACTTCTCCTCAAGTGAGTGGGTATGATAAAGGCTTTTTGGATTTATATAAATGAGGCTGCCATGTACTTTAAGCTTGTCCCGGTCATTTCTCCATTCTCGAATACAGCTGAGACTAGATTTATACAAAAAATGACTTCTACTTGATGGTAAGGGTCCAGCATGTTGCGATGGAACCCTTTGCTTTACCATCAAGATGGCTCTAGCAAGTGGACATCATGTTCCTGTGTGTATGGCTGTTGACTGAAAATAAAAAGGAAATGCAGCTAGACTGTAAGAAGGAAACCAAGTGGGGAAAGACAAAATGACTCACCAGACTCTCGATCTATTTATTTTGATACCTGCAAAGGTTAACAAAGACCTCTTTCTTATAAATTGCTTAAAAGGCATAGACAGCCAGAAGAGGTAGTAACATGATCCAGGGCTGTCAGAGAAAACCCTGAATAGGAATTCACAGCCGCGCTGTCGGATGCACTCGTCTTCCCCCGCACTCCCGGGCTTTCCTCCCGCCTCCGCTGGCTCCTGTCCTCGGCTCTTAATTGGTTATTTGGGCTAGCTGTCGGGCTGTGTTGGTGGGATTGTTGTGAGGCAATCACAATTCCTGAGTCATGACAGTGTGGAGCCCCCCGCCTCCCACTTCCCTTTGCTTTTCTGCTCTCTTTCTCTCTGCCCACATCTTCTCGTCACGCTCTAATGCAGGTATCTGCCATTTAGTGTTGATGGGAATCTTACTCGCATAGAACGCTTTGTGAGAGGTAAACTTGTGTTTCCACGTGCACACTCTTCCCGGACTTCCAATAAAGCATATGCACTTTTCTTTACCCCCTCACCTCGGAAACTCCTTCATCATTTTATATGCGGAACACGAACATATCCTTGCAGCATGTGGGTGTGATGATAATTAACTCGGCACTTGAGTGGCGGTGTGTGCTACCGGACCGGCTCCCCCTCTCCTCTGGGCGCCTGTATCCAGAATGAATGGCAGATATGACTGTTATCTGGAGCTAGCAGCGGGCTGTTTGATGAATATGTTGCTCTGATATCCTTAACCTCTGTGTTTCCTTCAGGCTATCTTCCCCCTGGTCTGCCTGAGTTTTCCCAGAGTGTGTATCACTACATGAACGCTGACTGGCGCTGTGTCTGAAGTGTATTTTGTGACCTTTAGTTGGATTGTTTTGTCAGCATCTGTAGTTACATTGCTGGGTTACTTGGGTTCCTTATGAATTCCTTCTGAAAAAAGGACAAGTGCTACATGAATGTGGGTGTGAACAAAATAAATGTTTACAAGAATACATTCCCATCAGGTGGTGAATTAGATGATAGTTGGCAACATGTACTCTATGAGAACTTAGAACTTTCATGAGTAGAAATACTTGCAACCCAATTTATAGCAAAGTCCCTTTTAGCTATGCTAGCAGGATGGCTATGTTGGAAAGTCCGCCACTGGCAAAATCAAAATAACTTTTGCCATGACGTTTAAAAAAAACATTCATGTTACTCTCAGGATGAATTGTAATACACTTGTTAATCCCCTACATTTTCATCATCCATTAAATGTATCTTGTCTGCTTATCGGCAAAAAAACTTAAAGATTATATCCGCTAAACATTGGCATGTTAACTTTTAGTAAAGCCTCAAATAGCTAATAGCATGTCTGTAGACTTGATTTGAACATAAACGGAGAATGTGGTTTATTGTTATTGTTTTTAACATTCACAGGTAAGTCTGTTTGCAGTGAATATGTGGGGCACGTTCCAATCAGAACATCGCTCCACCAGCGCAGAGGGAAACATTAAGACCCCTCATAATTATCATCCCACATTCAAAGAGTTCCAGAGTGGAGCGCTGCTGTGGGAGTGGATCACATGAAAGAGGCTTAGCCAGACATACATGCAGAGGCATTTCCTCTCTACTTTCTACTCTTTCAGTCTGTCGCTCTCACACAGTCTACACTGCAGCATTGGAGGGCCGTCTCTAGAGTGACCATGCCATAATGAGCTGGCTGATGAATCACAGTCCTATTTAATGGAAGCCTTAGTTGTCTGGGCTCCCTGGCTGTGGATAGTGGTGGTTACTATGGGTGGTATCTCAAAATCATATCATTGGAGCAAAATGTCTCAGACATGCTTTCATACACTACGTGGAAAGTGTGTACGTGTGTGTATCGATGTCTGCAGTGTCAGAATGAAGCATGTATTGATCCATGTGTGTTGCTGTATAGTCTTGAGTAGTGAGCTCCACTTAAATGCTTGCTCATGCAATACCCCACACACACTGGCACAGAGTGCTGAGCAGCTGTTTTGCCTGCCGTTGCTGTGCAGCCGATAGGAACCTTCTATTACTGGCACTTATCAGCCTCTCCTGATTCCACCGACTCACCACAGATTGTAATTCTACATCATGTTTTTCCCTTGGAATAAGCAAGGCTGGTCATTATTAGGCTATTTTTAGTATTGAAATCACATCATAATTGATGGCTTGGGCACTACAGTCTGGCAATGCTTGAAGCAGTTGATGAAATAGTGCTTGAATAGCTTGTCAAGTAAGAAATGAGGATAGATTTGTCTTGTGTTGAAACATTTACTGTAGTGCTGGAAAACCATACTATACAGCGGTAATACAGAGAGGCTGATAATGGAAAATGTTCTGCCACAGCCGCTCTTCAAGATTCTACCCGCCACAGGCAACACTTCGTAGTGCTGTGCATACGGCTGATGTACATTTCTCTTCCCCAGGCAAAGCCCAAGTCCAATATGAAGCGATGCAGATTAGCTGGTTCTAAACCCTCTGTGGATGCTATGACGTTAAGTTGTTCATGGGGGTTCCACCTATCAGAAAAGTACAGGCAGGAGAAAAGCTTATTTTTTGTGAATGAGCAGAGGTATAACCAGCTGAATTTTGATAATGAGATGCTTCTAACCCACTCTCTTTAATATAAAACTATTTCAAACTATTCCATGAACACTTGGGATGTCCTGGCATGTCAAGTTTCCTGGAACACAAAGCTGTATGACTGTCCATTATGGATTTAGAAGAATAATGTGATATAATGCTATCTGCTGGGATATCCAGTCAGTCTTTCAGATGCTCCGTAAAGTCTTTGATGCAAAGCCAATTAGCATGAAGTGAATAACTTAATCTCCATAACACTCTTAGTATCCCCTGGAGAATCACTAGCCATGTTCAGTGTAGAATTATATACATCATTATTTTTTTGTGCAGCAATAGAGTTGAAATCATTAGTTGTGATTTGTTTAATGAGGGAGGCAAGAAGTCACATGTTAATAGATCCTCAATGTTTCTCATTGCTGTTTCTCAAGTGTGATAATCCTTATTTTATCCAGCTGGATTTTATAATCCCAGAGCTGCCTAAACTAAATACCCCTCCCTCTCTGTGTACCCCCCACAGAGCGTGGACACAGTCTGCACCCTCTACCAGTCCTGCCAGGAGGGGGCGGCCTCAGGGTCCGGGGGTTTGATGGACGACACCAAGGGGGCTCCAGTGAGGCAGGGAGGGGAGTCGGGCTCGGGTCCCACCCTGCTCAGACCCTGCCCCAAACACATGAGTGCCACTGAGAGGTTACGCAAGGTCATCCAAGAGCTGGTGGACACGGAGAAGTCCTACGTCAAGGTGAGAGCGCCAAGTATTTATTATTATAAGCTTACAGGACTAATGTGATTAAACCTAATTTGAAATCAGTTGCACTTACATTTGATTTTTTACTCCTCAGTTATACAAGTGTATATACTTTTTACTTTTATACAAAAAAGCACTATACTTTCTTTTAACTCCATCATAACTGGACTACTCATGTCTACATAATGGTCATCATCGCTGGCAGCTGCCAAGTTAAACATTTGGGAAGTGACAGTTTTTTAATTTAAAAATATATATAAATGATATATATCTTATCTGACTTTCCAGTCTGAACAATAACACCTTGTATCTTTCGTAAAATAGAGTTATAATATAGAAATTGATCATAGTGCTGGTAGATAGATTTAGCTTCTTTTGGACAATGCTAAGCTAGCTGTTTCCCCCAGTTTTTATGCTACGCTAAATTAACTGGCTACTCCATTCAGCTATATATTTAATATAAAAGATGAGGGTGAAAGTACTTCTTCTCATCTTAGTGTCAGCAAAAAAGCATTTAAGCTTATTTCCCAAAATGCTAAACCTTTCATTTTTATATAAGATATAATGCTGCGAGTGACATAAAACAAGAGAATGAATGCGGGAGAAGCTGTTTCCTGTTTCACAGTCAATGCTCTTCCATTCCTCCTACTCCTGTCTAGACTTATTTATCCTCTTCCCGCCCAATCTTTTTTGCTGCCCTCATGTTTTCTAATACGACCTTTTCCTCCCTGACACATATTAAACAGCTACACTCTTGATCTTCCCGACTCTGTTTTTTTTTCTTCCTTTGTCCTAATTTTTCATTAAGTCCATTCCCCGGTGCACCCCTCCTCTTCCAATCGCTGTTGATTTGTAATTGAGTGAGGAGATTGTCTACCCAGAGTGCCTTGATGCAGGCATGCTCGCCCGTATCCATGCACCACTCACGAGTGAGGCAGTCTGGGGAGGGGAGGGGGAGGGGGAGGATCATAAATCAACCTAATGAGAATATCTCCGCTGATACCGAGACAAGCTACAGCCACATTAAAATAGTGGGGGGAGGAGGAGGGAGAAGATGGAGGAATGGGTTGAGGGACTGTGGGAGGGGAAACAATCAGAGGTTGTAAAGGGAAAAACAAATGGTCAGATTTGTAAATGAGGTTAAAGAATAGAATGCTGTATGATTCCTTCTCTCTGACCTTTGTTTTTATTTATCTTGTGCACAGGACCTGGACTGTTTGTTTGAGATTTACCTGAAACCCCTGCAGAATGAAACCTTCCTCACACTGGACGAGGTAGGTGGCGTGTGTGTGTGTGTGACATAATGGGAGGTGTATCAGCCCGAGGCGTATCCTGGGAGGTGCTGAGGCGAAATAGGATGTGGAATTCATTGAGTGTTTATTACCCAGAGGTGACGCCAATGAACCCTACTAGGCATCTCCCTCATTACCACTGTGGCTGGCTGGAGGACACATTTGCATTCCCCTACGTGACCTTCCGGCGCCCCACTGGGAACCGCCAATAAGGGCTAGTTTGAGATAAAACCCACCCTTTAAGAATCCACGTCGGATTCACACACCACTGTATAGCTGTGATTTCACCTCTTTCCATAAATAAAAACGTTTTTTCCTTCTCCTTTTGTAAACACCTTGAATGAAGCCGTCAGTGTGTGTTCCTGTGGAGTAGCCGCAGCATGCTAATAACCTCGGTGTTGCAGTTTCCAGCCCTGTGTGCAGAGCGTGACCTCACACACAGGACGACTCTCCCAAGACGCACTAGTCGATAGGCCACTGAGCACTGGGGCAAATTAAAAGGCAGTTATGGGACAGCAGAACGTGTCCAGACACAAAATAGAGGAGTGTGCTGAAACGGCTTTTAATGAAGGGAAGGGTTGACCCTGGGAGTGTGTGTGGGAGACGGTGTGTTAGACGGTTGAAGTGTGTGTGCGCTGCATTCATAGGCTTGTCCCCAAGTGCCTTTGTCAGAGATGGAGCCATCAGAGTGGAGCTTTATAACACTCCAGGGTGTCTGTCTGACATGCTATTATGAATTACAAGCTATCTAGGCTGTTTTTTTTTCTTGTAGCCTCATATTCATTCTCCCCCTCCCCTTCAATCTTCCTCCCATCCATCCTTATCCATCACCACCTCTTCTTTCCTCACCTCCTCCTACCCATCGCTCTCTTCCTCCTACCCATCGCTCTCCTCCTCCTCCTCCTCTTCAGATGGAGAGTCTGTTTGGCAGCCTGCCTGAGATGTTGGACTTCCAGAGGGTCTTCCTGCAGACCCTAGAGGAGAGGATCGCCTCCTCGCCTGATTTCAACACCCTGGAGACCCCCTCACAATTCAAGGTGAGACCCCCACACAATAACATATCAAGTTATTGATTAAATGTCCGAAGCCTTAACGGGTTTTCCATAAGAATGAGTATACAGAACGACGTTATCGTCAAACCAGGTCATTTTAACCACATTTCCAAAGAGAAAGTTATAATATTTGATATCTTGAGGTTTATTAATAATTGAGGTGGTGTGACAGGGGCATCTCCGGGTGATTCATAGTCTTCACATGACAGGGTTATTGATCGAGGCGGCGGTTCACTGGTTGGATTGTGAGCTGCTGAAAGCTAGTGTACTCAGGAGGTTAGGTAAGAGGGAGAGGACAGAGGGGGGGCCCAGAGTGGTTACGGTCGTGACTTCACATGTTCGTGCTCTTTCATCCCCTCTCTCTCTTCTCGTGTGTCTGTGTGTAGCCTCGCTCTCTCACCATCTGTACGGCACTCAGTCCCATCTCTTGTTTTTCTCTCTCACACCCTCTCGGGTTCGCAGAAGCTGCTGTTTTCTCTCGGGGGTTCATTCCTCTACTACGCCGACCACTTCAAGCTCTACAGCGGCTTCTGCGCCAACCACATCAAGGTCCAGAAGGTCATGGAGAGAGGTACAACACACACCTGAACATGTGAAGAACACACACACACTCCTAAGGCACAAAATGAAATAGTATTTGCAGACATACCGTCCCACACAATCCCTGCTAAATCCGGTTTCCTTGCACCTCCGTTGCATCAGAGACACCTCTTGGCTCTCACTGTTGAAGGTTTGTCCTTATATTTTGGCGGAAAAAAACATTGCCTCCATTTGACTGCTAGTCCTGTTCCATTTCCATCCTCATTCACAACATGTTGGCACAGGGAGAAACAAAATCCCCCTTTCATTTTGTGATCTACTGTTTATTACCAATTCAAGCCATTACCTGAAGTTTAAATAAATACACACATTTATTAATCACACAGACTTTGGATAACCTTGTTCACAAACAGCGTAGCCCTCATATTTCTTAGCGTCTCCCTCAGCATGCGACAGAGTAGACGTTTTAAACTTGATTTATGCCCGCTTTGGGAATGCTGCCCAGTGCCGGGAGAGACGTAAGGAGATTGGCTTCTTTGCAGAGACAGGTGGGGTGGGCAAATTACCCCCGTGCTGCTTAAATCTGACCCATTACTAGAATTGCGTGGGATATTCCTCGAAGTAAGCAGCAGGATGGACATTTAATAGGATTACGGGAGGAAAACACTCAGAAAAGTCCCCGACGGGTCAGAGTTACCTAGAGGAGAAGGACATGTGGTTTTAAAACAACTCTGGTGCATGGAATAGTTTCTGCAGTGTTGAAAATGTTAAATGTTTTATTTTAATTGAATTATGTATAATCATATGTAAGGAAAAGGATCAGGGCCACATTTATTTTTAGATCCAACCAAAAGTGTGTTTGTTTTTTTGGAGTTCTGAGATGAAACTCAATCTTCTGAGAAGACTCTCTCTGTTAGAAAAAAATCTGCAATTAGAATGTACAAAGATCACAACCCCACTACCCAGTCAAAGATTTTATCATTTTATTTTATTTTGGGGGTACATTTTTTGCTCAGGATTGTTATTCTTAAGTCTATGTTCAGTGCCAACTCAAAATGGCTCCAAGTTTTTTAGCATAGGGAAAATATGCTAAGAGTCAAAGTGCTGTACTTACAGGGATCATACACCCTATTCTTTACCCAAAGCTTTAAATGGCTGGGTGTGCTGTTCTATACTTGTTGCACGGAATCTAATATTAGAACGACATGTAGCACAATAATTGCACGGTTCAGATAAGAATAACCAAGGATAACATAGCTGCATACAGAGTATATATTTGGCTCTGCGTGGTCACAAGCAGCTGATCCGAGGCCACAGAGAAGACATCTTTGTCAACCCTTAAAGTAATTACATGCCCGTCAGTGCCATCTTCATCACTCCCCCTCCCTTTGCCATCATGCCAAGGGCCCTGGGTTGCCTTAGTTTCTCTGTTTATTTGTCGACTCGTTAATTGCCTGCCAATTACTCTGGCAGGTGTCGATGAGGCTGCCTGTCTGTGGCTGGGAGTGCTATAATTAATACTTTAATGCCCCCCCCCAGTAGGCATCGTGGAAGCATGCTGCTCGGGGAAAATGTCATCACCTTTACAGAAGGCTCATTCCGTTTTATACCTGCCCTTTCACACTATGCTTTGGCTTCACTGCAAACTAAGGAGTCCCAACTTGGTTGTTTTCACCCCGGTGTAAATCAGAGGGGCTTAAGTAACTTGTGACAGTGCGGCAAGATCTTTTTTACTTTTGCTTGTCTAATGATACTCAGAGGCCTTGTGCTGAGTATAATGGATGCATTAGCAGATGTTTAAACTTAAATACTGCAGTGGTCATGGTGGGGTGGAGAGGCCTACACCACCCTCTGCTGGAGACTGCTTATTGCACCGTGATTCTGCACTGGCCAGCACAACAGTATCAGATCTAGGATTAGTTTACAATACAGCAACACATGCATGACACCATCAGAAAACCAAAAGCTGAAGGGTCCTTTTTTAATTTGTAATGTGTTTTTCAGCAAAGACGGATCAGGCCTTCAAGGAATTCCTAGATGCGAGGAACCCCACCAAGCAGCACTCCTCCACCCTGGAGTCCTACCTGATTAAACCGGTGCAGAGAGTGCTGAAGTACCCCCTGCTGCTCAGGGAGCTGGTGTCCCTCACTGACGCAGACAGCGAGGAGCACTACCACCTCACCGGTAGGACAATAAACACACATGAACATTCACAGGCACACCCAAACACATGGGGAGGACGTGCTATACATACCAGACAAGATCACACGTGTCATTTCAGTGTCTTGTCGTCATGCTATCATGCCTGCAAGTATTAAGTGACACATCTCAGAGATTACTCAATGAGCAAATAAAACCTGCTACTGTAATGCAAAGCGTCCACATATACAGTGAATAATTGAAACATTCTGTTTGTGTCCCTGCAGAGGCTCTGAAGGCCATGGAGAAGGTGGCCAGCCACATCAACGAGATGCAGAAGATCTACGAGGATTACGGCTCCGTGTTCGATCAGCTCGTAGCGGAGCAGACTGGCCACGATAAGGAGGTAGATTACAGAAAAATATGTATAATCATCAATCACAGTGCATATATCGGAAGTTTCCTTAACGACCATAGCCATATGAGAGCAGATCGGGACTTTTTGGGAGGGTGGCTCAAAGAGACAGGCGCTAAAACAGCATTTCAGAGGGATCCGAAAAGGGTGTTTTTTAACATCAGAGCATGACAACATTCTGTATCAGAAAAGATTCAAGTATGATCTTAAAATAAGCATATTATGTTGCCTTTTAAACTACTTCCTCCCAGTTAAAGTGGGGATGTTTACGCCATCTTCTGTGCGTTGCCTCCGGGGATTGAATACATTTACATATTGATGGAATATTTAGCTGGTAACCTCTGCAGTTTAAATATTCAAATTGAATGCCAAATGATGTTGTCCAGGCCCACTGAATGTTTTCGACGTACTTTTTCGGCAAAAACGAGATACAAACTCTCTTTAAAATCAGCTCTCATCCCAATAACACAACCAGTATTTTGTATTGTCTGTGCAGCTCCAGTCATAGCCATGAATACTGAGTCCGGCCCACAGAGCAGCATGCTGTCTGGTTTCTGTTCCTCCCTCTCTTCTGTTTTTTAAACGGTTTCCTGTGTGTCTCTTTCAGGTCACAGAGATCTCGATGGGAGAGTTTCTCATGCATTCCTCAGTGGTCTGGCTCAACCCGCATTCATCGTTGGGTCGCATGAGAAAAGACCCTGAAATGACCGTGTTTGGTGAGTCTGCATTCTTCTCCCACCATAATTACCGTTGCATTCTGGGAAAAGTTAGACCCCCTCCTTTCCCTACCATAAAACGTCCACCCCTTACTAAGAATTCTGGCGAGAGGTTAAGGGACCCATGTAAATAAAGTTTTCTTTGCCAAAACAGCCTCTGAACAACTGTCATGTGGCCATCAGATTTTTACGAGGTTAATCGGTACAAACCGGCTGTATCAGGTGTTCTGTAGAGCCACCCAGAGTTGTGTTTGCAATGGAACTCAAAGCAGATTTTCAGTGACTCTCACTATCCAGAGCTGTAGCGCAGATGCAAGCTTGAAGGCCTCCTGCTGTAAAATGTTTCTGAGGGATGCTCTCCTTCAGTCGCTTTCCCCTAGAGACATTCACAGGAAAACTCACACTGATGTGTTCTCTCTTACAGTGTTCAAGAAAGCGGTGATATTGGTCTACCGGGAAAACAACAAGCTGAAGAAGAGGATGGTAAGCATTGTGTCTGATGCAGCAGTCTCCTCTCACATGCGTCAGATGGGCTCTTTGGTTTGAACTTTTGTTCTCCTCTCTCCCATGTGGCATTCTCTTTGTGATGACCAGACCAACTCTCGTTCGGCCCTTTCTCACGGAGACGCAGACCCCTTTAAGTTCCGTTGGCTCATCCCTCTCTCTTCACTGCAGGTCAGATTGGGAAATACTGCCGGTAAGGACTCTCACACTGCCACATTAGCCCCACTAAATCACTCACAAAGTACATCCACTAAATCGTATTATTCCCCCACCAAACCTGAAGCTAATTCTTCTTGCCCACACACACACCTCTCCTGGCATCTTTCCTGAGCTCCCCTCCTTATCTCTTTCTGAAACCATAAACCATGTTTGGACTGTGTGATTAAAAGCCTCTCCTTTTATTGCCTCACTTTCTCAGGAGCCGGCACAGAGGGCAGCTGCATCTGGGAGCTGATTCACTCCAGGTCTGAAGTGGAGGGGAGGCCGGAGACCGTGTTCCAGCTGTGCAGCAGGTCAGAGATGAACCCTTCAGGGGGATCACAGTGATTAATGCTGGCATGCATTCATGGAGTCCATAGTGCTTTTTCTTTATATAATTAGGGTCTTTTTACAAGTTAGTTAAAGGTCCCCTATTATACTGTTTTTCATCAATATAATATAGTTCTCAGATATATACAAAACATGTCTCTGAAGTGTTTGGCCTCAAAATACCAAACAGATCGTGCACTGTAGCATCCCATAATCCCCTCTGTTTCAGCCCTGTTTCAAAAGCGCTGATTCTCTGTCTGTTACTTGAGATGAAAATAAGGAGCCACTCCCCACGCCCCTCTGCGAGATATTTGGTTAAAAAGAACACAATGGTGCTCTAGGAGGAGATTCAGGTGATAAGGGGGGGGGGGGTTACCTTGGTTCAATCAAATCAAGTTTTATTTATATAGCACATTTATAAACGATTTTTGGTCGAGCCAAAGTGCTGTACATATAATAAAAATAGCCTACAGTAGAGACACTTTACAGCAAATACAACAGCACAGATTGTTCAGAATATCAGTATGAGAAAAACGACACCCTCTATCCTTAGACCCTCACATCGTACAAGGAAAAACTTCCAGAGAAAACCCACAGTTTAAAGGGAACATGGGAGAAACCTCAGGGAGAGCAACAGAGGAGGGATCCCTCTCCCAGGACGGACTGACGTGCAATAGATGCCGTGTGTAAATCGAAGAGATAATACATTTTACAGCATATAGACCGAATGTTAGGAAATGCATGTGTCTGTAATAAGAAGATGAATCCACGAGGATGTCAGCTACAATCCTGAGGAAGCCATCAGGGAAGCAGCATGGCGAGACCCAAAGCAGGACCGCAGAGACAGGTTCAGCCACGACCCGAAGTCCACGACTTAATCCAGAACTCAGGATAGAGGATCCAAGACACAGGGACTACAGCAAGAGGATCAGCCTCGACTCCGGATCCCGGCGTAGATATAGATACAAAACAAGAAAAAAGATTTGGCTGGGTTAATCGGAACAAGAGAATACACAGACACAGACAGAGAGGGAAAAGGTCATTGGATAAAAGTTATTCTTGATAACCCTCTAGAAAGATCTCATGAACTTCCCCACTCAATCTATCAAGACCCGAGCAGTTCTATTAGATATAGGATAAGAAACAGAGATAAGGAGCACAACAACCTATCTCTTTGTCAGATGCACTCCCCCGCTTATCTAAGCGACTCTGTACCCCGTTACCCTTTACAAGGCCATAGACCAGCAGAGGGAAAATGGGGGGTGTGTAAGGGTAAGGATTTTTAAGAATAATCCGCAAGGGTCTAAAGGGAAAAAAGATGAAATATAATATACTATATTTTAAGTAATCCCCTACCATTCCTATATTTGAATAATGTATAAACTATTTTAAAAATACTTTATGAAATCCTATGTTATGTTATAAATATTAAAATAAATAACTAAATGAATAAATAAATAAATGAATAAATAGATAATTAAACAAAAGCTAAAGAGAAAAAGGGAGTTTTAAGTGTTGATTTAAAAACCCCAGGGTCTGGGCCGACCTCACATGGAGGGGCAAAGTATTCCAGAGCCTAGGGCCAGCCGCTGCGAAAGCTCGATGCCCTCGGGTTTTAAGCCTGGTCTTAGGCACTATCAACAACAGCTGATCAGCCGACCTTAAGGCTCTGCCTGGGGTGTAGCGATGGAGGAGTTCGGCTATATAGGCAGGAGCCAGCCCATTAAGGCTTTAAAAACAAATAAAAGGAGTTTAAAATCTATTCTGAACCGAACTGGAAGCCAGTGCAATGAAGCCAGAATTGGGGTGATATGGTCGCGCTTTTTATGGCCAGTGAGAAGACGTGCAGCTGCATTCTGCACTAGCTGGAGGCGTCTAATTGAGGCCTGGTCCATACCCACATACAGAGCGTTGCAGTAATCCAGTCTCGAGGTAACAAAGGCGTTAATAACCCTTTCTAGGTCTTTAAAAGATAAAAACGACTTGGTCTTAGCCAATAGTCGTATTTTGAAAAAGCAGGTCTTGACTACAGTGCTAACCTGCTTATCAAATGTAAAGGCGCTGTTGAAGGTCACTCCAAGGTTCATAACAGAGGGGAGGATATTTTTGGTTGGTGTCCAAAAAAGATGACCTCGGTCTTACTCTCATTAAGGGTGAGGAAGTTTTGGCTCAGCCAGGATTTAATCTCTGTTAAGCAGTCCTTCAACTGCTGTAATGAGTTGGCATTTTGATTGAGAGGCAGATACATCTGTACATCATCAGCGTAACAATGGAAGGGGATATTATGTTTTGTAAGAATTGAACCTAGGGGCAGTATGTACAATAGAAAAAGGATGGGGCCCAGAATCGAGCCTTGGGGAACCCCACAGGTAAGAGGGGCTGGTTGGTGATTGGCTAATGGTTACACAAGCCAAAAAAACATGATGACATCATAAAGTAGCCAAAATCTGATCAGCTCATTTTCAGACAGGTTTTGATATAAATGGATCAGGACAAAAAGTCAGTGAATCTTTGTTCCTGAAACTTTCAGAGTCTCTTAACACAGAGGGGACACATGTGTATGTATAAAGTGGATTTTGCATAATAGGTGACCTTTCAAGGTTTATTTCAACATTAGTCTTGTATCTGATTATGTAACTATTACCATTTCTATTAGTTATTATAACATAACATTCATACAGTTACATTAACTCCAACAGTGTGTGATATGCAAGGTTGGAAACATGCCAAACATTAAGATAGATTGTTATACCATTTTTATCTGGAGGCAAAATCAAAGTGAGCATGTCCTTAGTGTGTGTAATCATTTATTATTGCACAGGGACACTTGTTTACTTGTTTATTTATTTAAAGGACAGTGCACATTAATCCACATTGCTGTAAATGAGCCAGTATTTGCAACTGTTGTCCTTGGCAAGATGTTAAATGACCACAACAAGACTAGAGAAATAAAAACATAATTAAATAGAATATAACAGACAATAGCAGTACAACAATAAATAGCAGTACAACAATAAATAGGAACAGACAAACATGTAAACAGATGAAATATCATCATACCTTGATACAGTTAAAAGTGTTCACATTTTTGATTGCTTAAAAGCCAGTTCTTATGATAGCGGTTAAATGTATGATAGGAGGTGTTATTCCTTATCTGTATCGGTATTGTGTTCCAGAGTGTTGATGCCCTCACAGAGAAACAGTGTTTGCCAAAGGAACTGGACCTAAGAGGGGACTACACAGTCCCCTCTTCGGGCAGACCTTGTGGTTCTGCTGTGTCCTTGCCGTGTATAATCTTAAAAATGAGACATGCGTCAGTGTGTTTTAAAAGATGTTCCCAGCTGAGCAGGTTATGTTTGTCCATGGTGGTATAGCTTAGGTTTTCTGTCCAAAACTTTGAGAGCTTGTTTGTAAAGTGACAGGATAGGCCTTGTGTTGTGCTATTCGCCTGGGTCCAGCTGGTCATACAGTATGTTAGGTGGGGAAGGATCATGGCAGTCATATAGAGTTTTGCTACAGGTGATGACACCATACCTTTCACCTTATCTCTCACATAGGTTTAGCAAACATCTGCCATTTCCATGTCTGATTATCTTCTAACACCATCAGTCTTATTTTTAACATTGGTACAGATGTTCAGATCTCAATGTTACTACTGATATAAACATGGTCAAGGCTGTGAAAAGACCCACTGGAATTATCTACTTGATCAAATATACATAAAATGAAATATGTTCCTACATCATTAAAGTAAACCCCTTTTAAAATGGCTGGGTGATGCTCCATCTTAAGTACAATACAACCCATTTAGTTAAAACATGTTTTACTGTTCACTGTTCACTGAAGCCTAATAATTGTTTTATTTTATTTCGAACAATATGCCTTTTCTCCTAATTGCTGCTCCCGGTCTCATATCTGTCTGTTTAATAAGAGGGTATCGCCAGCAGCTGGTTAGCTTAGCGTAGCATTAGGACTCAAAACAATTAAGAACTATGCCTACCAGCACCTTCCTCATTAGCATTTTATTTGGTTTTCGTACACAATAAACAATGAGATGTATTACTTAATGAGAATTTGAGGTCTTTATGCGCAGCGAAGCCAATCGATTGCTGGCTGTTGCTTCATATGGACCAATAGGAGACTGGTATCATCTTCTTCCAACTCTCGTATTTCCCAGATATGTCAACCTATACTTGTTTTGATTTATTAGACTTTGTAAAAGAGAAAATGTCTAATCAAAACTGCTGAAATTGTATTTATATAGCCGAATATTACAAACCCGTTGTCTGAAGGGGCTTTACAGATCAACAAACAAGAATGACAATTAAAAGATAGAATGTAAAATACAAATATTTGAATGTGACCCTTAATCTTTTATGACTCACTTTAATAATCGTATCTTGTAAATGTGCTATCAGTTTGGTATTGTTCCTGGAAACCTATGTTTTCCATTGTTTGAGCATTTAAAAAAGCACAATCAGTCTACACTAGTATGGTGGTGGGAGTGAAGCCCGCGACCCACTTGGTGATTCTCATTACACTCTGTGAAATTGGGATCACTCCTAATGAATTACATCACCCATTTCACTGGGGACACAATGGAAGTCTCTCACCAATCGCCCCTTAATCTATATTTAGCTTCTGAAATCAACCTGCACTCACATGACTAAGGTTCCTCTGCTGTGTCCTCCTCAGTGTGCCGGAGAACAAGGTCAACATCATCAAGGTCATCCGCTCCATCCTGCGGGAGAACGTGAGGAGGAACATGAGGGGCGAGGCCACGCTGGAGAGGGGCTGCAAGGAGCGCCTGGCCCCCCTGTGCAGCACCCGGCCCTCCTCCGCCCGGCTGGGTGAGCGCTCAGAAGCATTTACATCAGGGGTGTCCAAACTACGGCCCGGGGGCCATTTCTAATTGGCCCGCAGCTCATTTTAAAAGTATAATTGAATATGGCCCACACATGAAACTTGTGCCTGTCTTATATTGTACTTCTTAGATATATCTATAAATATATTACACAGTATCATGTGTTAATAAACCCCATTTTCAAACACATTCAGTCAATTCAAGTTGAAAACATTTAACAACTTAGTTGATCAATAAAAAGCCTCTTGAAAGATCTTTAAACAAAACTTGACATTTGTTTGGAGTACCAGGCACTGCTTGCTGGGAATTCTCCCTATAAAAACATGTCCACATAAGGCAGAGGAGTGATTCTTGCTGACTGGTATTTAGCCTTTTATCATTAGCTGTGTAATGCTGAGTATGCATGTTCTTTAGAGACGATTGTATCTTACTTTGTAGGTCATAAAATGCTAAAGGGGGCTGAGGATGCAAGTGTTTGGCTCAGATAAGAGTCCACGTCTGATTTCCATCTCCAAATGTGTCCTCAGGTTCCACCAGGGCGTCCTGGTTGTGTAAGCCCCCCCTTGGAGACCCCTCTTCCCAGGCTGGGGCCGCCAAAGTGGGGCCGGACTCAGACGAGGGGAGCCTGAGCAGCGGGACCTTCAGTCTGTGCGGAGTCCCTCCCCCCTGCCCCTCCTCTGAGTCCCAGACCCTCCCTGCCCAGAAGAACTGGTCTCACACCCCCGGATCCAAATCCCAGCCTCGCTCCTCCTCCTCCGCCGTGAAAGAGTCAGACATTTTGAGCGACGACGACGGCTTCATAGAGGGGGGGACGCGGAGGGGCAGTGGAGACGGCAGTTCTCCATCCAGCACCATCGAAGATCAGTTCCTCCAACTGAAACTCTCAGAGGACGCTGCCAAGGCGCCATGTGTCCAACCGGAGGGGGACACGCCGGAGACCCAACCCAAACTGATCCGGGGACACTTCGGTGCTGTGAAGAGGAAAACCAGCAGCTGCAGGAGGAGCCAGGGCGCCCTGCTGAGCATGAAGACACAGAGCAGGTCCCTGGACAGCCAGGCGGACGCAGCGTCTCTGTCGGGGGGGGTGGACCTCAACGCCCTGCTGGAGAGAGACTACAGTGTCCAGAGTCTGACTTCTGTAGTGAACGAGGACTGCTTCTATGAGCCGGTGGAGAGCTGTGCTGCTGACTCTGGGAACGCCACCTCCTCATAACGGACACCCCAGAACAATGGTCATAAAGGTGAAAGACTGACCCAAGCCCCTGCGTCATTAGAGGGAAACCCCTGTGTGGCTGTGAAGCTGTGCCTCAACTCGGAACACAGTTTAGGAAAGCATACACCAGCCTGCTAAAAAGTTAGATGTAAATGATCTTTTTCTTATGGAAGCCTATTATCTGACGGACCCACTTTCTCTCCCTAGAGTGGTGAAGCGAAGTGATTTCTGTCCCATTGATAATAACTGCAATAAATCTGCCAAGCACTGATGCGTTCTCGCCATTTCCTCAGCTTCCCAACAAACTGCTTAGTGACGTATTCCAGCCTAGTTTACCCTGCCGCTCATGCCGATTGGCAGCTGTTGATTCCGTGTTGGACCTTTTCTATGAAGAAAGGGGGGAGAGTGTCCTCTTTCTTTTAGTCCCTGAAGTTATATGAGGAATAAAAGTCCACAGGGAACATAGAGCCACAGGATACGCAGATGAAATTAGGTTCTTATCAGGGTTATTCATTTGTATTTGGTGCCGCAGAACCAAACACTGTAGATCTCCGCTTATTACAAATGGCTTTGTGTTAAAAATGAAAGGAGTGAGGGCTAATGAGGTCCACACAAAGACCAGAGGCGGTCACGTCACATGACATCGGCCTCAACAAACAGGAAGGAAACTTTCCCAACAAAGCCTTTCTTGCTGTATTTTGTGCACTAAAGTACAACGTTTGCCTATATTTTTTGAAAGATTTTTACAGGTTTTAATGTTAATAATACTGTTTTTATTTATTAATAGGTTTGATTATGTATATCTTAGCAAACAAACTTTTTTTGGGTGAAGGCTTGAACTGTTGGCTGAAGATTTGGTCCATTACTAATACGAAAGATGCAATACCGGTACAATGTGTACACTTCATTTTTAATGTAGCCCACTGGATTTGGGTGGTCTTTCTCTGAAGATTTGAGATTGCTAGTGGTTGCATTGGGATGTAAACGTTAAGGTATGGCTGCTTATTTGAATGATTTAAACTGCAGTAATGTTTAAACCCCATCGTTTCTTTTTATGTTTGTGTCCTGTATATACTCTTCTATATTTGTAAACATTTATGTATGATCTTATACATACTTGACACTGTACAGGTAAGACACAAGACAGGAAATAGAAGACGTTGCAGCTGATATTTTTGTAAAAACGTTTGGTTTGCCATAGCTGTACATGTCATGGTACTCAGGCAAACCTCTACAACATTATTTACCTTCTCAACTTTACCATGCCTTTTAATGCTAGCATACCAATGAATGTGAATGTCCCATTCTTATGGAAATGTTTTATAAATAAAAGTTGTATCTGTGAATGATGCCTGGAGAACAATGCTTTCAACCTTCAAAGTGTGTCAGTTGAGTTTGTATAAAGTAAAGCAGTGCTGGAGGTAAGTCTTCTCTCAGCTGGTCCCTGGGCATCACCCGCCGCCACCGTTGCCTGATTAGCTGTCAAAAGAAATGCAGGTATTTGAAGAAAATGTAGATCCTCCAAAGACTACATGATCATCTGACAGAAGTGGGGCACAGTTGTATGAAGAAATAGCTTTACTGCAGTGCTGGGATTTTATACTAGAACATGTGAGGCAATTGTTCTTCTTTTCCTCAGTATCTTTTATAAAGAGGACTGAAATGATCAATTAAAGCATGTTCTGTAAGTCACATTTACATGTACATTACACAATTACCTTTTGATAATATATTATACTATGAGTTTTTTTAAGGAATATTTAAGACATACTATTGCTATTTCATACTATTGCTTTTTCGCAAATGTTGGATGTACTATACTTTCGTTTTTAAAAAAAAGTTTTGACATCTCAATGACTCATAATTGCTGCTCTCTTTCACACAGCCAGTGTTCTAAAGTATGTAAGTTTAAAAAAAATAAAAATAGTTTTGACATACTGTACTGTCGTTTATCATATTTTCGACTGTTTCTTTTTGATATTTTCTACTTACAGAATGTCGTTTTTTTTGTGATATTTTCTGGACTTTCGTCAACAGCTTCCGTATCATTTTTTTACATATTGTATATTTTATTACATTTGATTACCTTCGATATTTAGGTTTAGACTTTTTCATTATACTATGATCTCTTTATCAAATTTTAGAAATACTTTGACTGAAAAATAACTTTATTAATGATTTTTATACTATGACTATATTGTGACTTTGTAGATGACGTTATAGACCTATCTGTAAGTATTAACAGGTAACCCGGCATATGCCAACCTGGCAGTCCTCCATATCTGGCAGTATCTGCCATGTCGATCTGATGGAATCCTGATTGTGGTGAGATTAACACCCACTGATCATGAAAAGCGAGTGAATGTTCCCTCTGGCAAGTCAACCTTAGCCTGCCATCTGCCACACTGGCAGGCAACAGCCCTGCCATATTCTGTTGGTGATAATCTGTTCTAGCTTTCAAGGAGGAATATTTATAACTTTCAACAAGACCTGTAATGATACAAAAGCTTAAATGACAACAGTGTTCTGATTTTATTCAACAGCAATGACATAAATACTGTATTCTGTACAAGAAATGTAACAAATGTGCCTCCAGAAAAATCATGAAGTTATTCTGAAAAGGTAATTGTTTAGTTTGTGTTTTAAACAGAAATACAGGCATTGACAATGTATTCCTCTATATTACAAATAGTCCATCTGGATTTGAAACATTTCCTCCTCCCTTTTAGCACCATCTCCCAAGCGACTAAGAACTCAGTACTCAGCGAGGGGGAAATGGCCTGAATACGGTGTTGCCATGTTGTTCCCATTTTCTAAATCACCCTGAAAACACTGACAGTTCTTTTGGGTCCCACAGGACAAGGTGTTATGCAAGATGTGATTTTAAGTAGGAATTGGGACAAAGAGCTTCTTTGGGTAATGAGCATCCTACTATTATTCTCCCAAATACACATTGCTCTGCTTTGAGATGTCATATCCTAGAGAAAGGTCTTGGAGCTGTTTCCACCAATCCTGGATCTTTATAAGTCTTGTAGTTATTGTGTCTGTCCCAGGATTTCATGTTTACCAAGGTGACTGACACAGGGGGAAAAAAGATTTTAAAAATGCATGGAAATGTCAAGGCTAAGAGCTCTCTGTTGTTTCCCTGCACTAAAAGAGGCTATTAGTGGGCTTCTCTTGCTTTCCATGCTTATTTTTATTTAGCTTTTCGTCCATAATAAATGTGTCCTCCGGTTTGTTTCCCTGCTTGGTGAGGGGCTTCAGTCTGAGCTCCTCTCTGAACTCATAGTGGAGCAGACTGGGTTCATGCATGCATAAATGAGCGTAGGCATCCGCTAAAGCCCGGAACTGGGGTATGGTGAGTTCTGTAGGGCGCAGAGTGGGGTCCACGTCTGCGTTCTGCAACATCTTCTGTGTCAGCTCAAAACGGCTCGCCTCAGGGAACAGCTTTCTGGGGGGTGAAATAATTAAAAGAACATGAAGAAATGATTGTACAGATTTCTACACTCAGGTCGCTTTGATATCTTAATGATCATGCAAGTTTAATGCCATTATAAAATTCAAACAGAAGGAAAGTATCCCTCAGCGATTGTTTCAAATCTGTGAAGTTAATTGAAATCACACAAAGAGCTAGAGCTGCTCATGAATTATTTATTTGTTCGACTGCCATGCTCCACAGCCAATAGACCTAGGTACAAATTCACACAGACTTGTTCAAAAATACAGAGAAGCTGTCATTTGGATGTCCAATTTTCATACATTTGGCTGAAAAACTCTGCAGAATATTCAATAGAGAGGTATCCATTATTATTTTAAGACATTTCTCTGCTTAAGATGTGTTTTCATGCAGGTATGTGAGAAATTGTGAATTCCTCACACTCTGCAGTACAGATGCTTTTTAGGCGCTTCAGTGCTGGTGCCTCCTCTCCAATTTCGCTTCCGCCAACCCACTGAAGTTACATAAAATGTGCTACCTCGTCTTCCTATGCCACCTCAATGACTCATAATTGCTGCTCTCTTTCACACAGCCAGTGTTCTTTTGTTATCCGGGCCTACATACGCTTTACGAACGGGGGCGATGGGCAGCATGCACGTGGGCGGGTGGGACGGTCTCTGGTAGTTCATATTCACACTTTAGTCACAGAAAGCCTCAAAAGTAGAGACTTTATTTGTCGGATTGGATTGTGTGACAAAGACAAAAAAATTGAATTAATGGCGAGTTAAAAGGAGACGCAGCTGTCGGAATACAGGGAATAAAAAATGTAGAGGGAATGTTAAATGAGGATGGGACATGATTAAAAAATAAAAAAGACGAGTTGTGTGCTTACTCTACTCCTTTGTAGCAGTACTTCCTGCGGAACTGGAACACATTCCTGATGACTTTCTCCACCAGCTTGAAGGGATGCTGGATCTGGGGCTGCACCAGAGGGGTGAAGTGAACCACTCCCACGTCCACCTAAAAACACACAGAAAGAGCAAGAGAGACCTTAGAACTTGAGTGAGCTCATGGGAGTTTGGAAAGTAGCAAGAAAAGGGCAGGAAGGTGTGAGAGGAGAGGGGAGAATGCAAAGTGTGGTGAAAAAACACTGGAGAGAAAGGTTGCCTGACAAATGCCGAGAGAGATAAAAAAGCTGGACAAAGACAGAGGGAGAAGGGAGGGATCAATAAACTGGGGATAAAAGAAAAGAGCAAAGGCAGAAAATAAGATGACGCAGCATGGCTGGCTGGCGAGCCGTTTCCAGTTGCCACAGTAACACCTGTGCGATGGACCATAGAAATTGAGCCTCTCTTTCCAGCCCGTCTCTACTTGTCTTGATGCATCACCGCTGAGTTTCTCAATACCTACAGGCCTGACTCACTGTGGCACTCTGCTCTTCATCCCTCTGTCTTTGCCCATCCGGCTCTACCATCTCCACTGAGGGTGAAACCAGTGGAGCATGAATACATATGGATCCAGTGACGTTAGGCAGCAACAGAGCTCATGTCCTGCTGAATGGGACTCAGTGGACACAGGTACTAATACCTTATCTGCTCTACATTTCTAAAGGCCAAATCATATGTTTTGTGTCAAGAGGCGCGTTCACACCGCAGTACTTTTCCCACTTTAGTTCCAAAATGTCGCGTTTACACCAAAAAGAGTCGGAACTAAAATGAGTTCATCAGAACCTTTTTTACCGTCCCTTCTAGAGAGCAGGTACTTTCGTGGGAGAAAAAGGTTCCTATGTCTGATTGGCTGGGCGGATTGCAAACCACGCCCCGTAAAACTCCCAAAAGGTTTTGTGAAGCCGCCATTTTATTATCCTCACATTAGCATTATTAGCGTTAGCCCAGCGCAGGAACACAGAGAGACTAACTTATGGCAACACAAAATAAAACATGGGAGCGGTGGAGATGAGGAGGTGTCGGCGTTCTGGCGATTTACTCGGAAGGCTTCAGTAGAAGCTGCTGGGAGTCCCAGCAGCTTCTACTGAAGCCAGTCCCCAACTCCGGGGACTTCCGGCCGGGGACTTCCGGCCGGGGACTTTGGGTAGCAGTATATGCCGTGAAGTTGTTTGCGGCCTGCCAGTAAACCCAAAGCAGAAGAAGAAGTGACGTCAGCGGCTTCTTTTGCCTAATCCTCCTCCAGGAACTTATTCCGGTGTGAACGCGATCTGTACTTAGTTCACGAGAACTAAAGAGTTCTCATGAACCTTTGTGGGAAAAGTACTGCGGTGTGAATGCGCCTATAGTGTCTGTAAGGGTCCGCTATAGTCCTTGCAGCCCAAAATGTGTAACCGTTCCAAGCATGCTAAAGGTGCTTGCTCCTGTTTTGTTCCATACTCTTACTAAAGGATTGTTTTAAAGAGAGGTTGTGTGAGGAGATTTGCTGTTATGGCAAAAAAACATACACATAAATTGAGTTCCTCTTTAAATGAAGGCCCCGTCCACACGGAGACGTTGAATCCGCTAACGTTCTCTATCGTAAAGACTGTTCATCCACACGAGGCCGACACGGAAACGCGGATTCGGAGCCCGAATCCGATACACATTGATAACAGCTCCCAAAGTGGGTAGGTCTGAGGACGAAACGCTTGCGGCTCCGTGTGTACGCCCTATACGATCATTCCCTGAAAATTATGACACCATAGCCCCGCCTCTCCTGCTCACCTCCGCGTCATTGCTGATGCGTTTCACCAACAACAACAACGGCGGATCACAGGGTTGCGTTCATGCTCCAGACGCTACTGACCATGGTACGGATTTTGGTACCACTTTACAATAAGACTACCCTTATAAAGGGTTTACAAATAGTTTGTAATTAATTTATTAATTAGGTTGTGAACACGTTATAAATCATTAATACGCTTTTATAAGACATGAGATAAACAGGGCAACTGTGACCGGTTGCTTGCCAAATAGTGAGCCCACATTTATCTGTACTGCTAAGCCTTATATTGGCTACTTAGCTTAACTCGTCTTCTTCATCAGCCAGCATCCTTGGTATCTGTTGCTCACTGAGTGGATTCTCCCCCCATCCATCTTGATGTTTCTTGGCATCTCTTATGACCATTTATGAATGAGTTACTAACATTTATAACTGCCAAAAGGGAGCCTTATTGTATAAAGTGTGACACATATCACCATTTATTAATGAGTTACTAACATTTATAACTACTGAAAGGGTGCGTTGAATTTAAGTTCAATGTCCATTTATGAATGAGTTATAACATTCACACTTACCTAATACACATGAAATGCAAAGTAAGATGCAAAAGAGCCAAGCAAAACATTTTATTGACACATGAAGAAAATCAGGACTCAAAAGAATGACTATTTAGTATGACTGATACACATATTTAAACATAAAAGCTTTTCCCAGACATAAATGAAAGACTTGGTAAGACATAATGGTACTCAGACTGGAAAGGCTTTGTGTATATCCTTGAACAAGCGTCCAAGCAGTCCATCAGGGTGAGCAGAGCCGAGATAAGATGACCATTCAAGAACCTTGAGGTGTTCCTCCAACAAACTCTCTGTACGGTTTCCTCTCAGTCTGCGGACATGTCCTTTGACGGTCGACCTAGCTCTTTCTATATGTTGGGTATGACTGCCAGTCTGGGGGTTCACAAACCACCTGCTGTGGTTTATGGTGTAGTGGTTGTACCCCATGTTACTCAGCACTCTCCTGTATGCCCTCCACTCATCACTAATAATGCTACTTCCTGACTTAACATGCCGTCTAATCAGAGGGACAAGGTGGCATCTTGATCATTTCAACACTAGTCTCCGCCTTTTGTCTTTAACTCCCATCATTCTGAAGACCCATTTCTTTCTTCTCCAGGTATGTCCAAAGCGTCCACACACAAAATAAATCATATCATCTTAGTTAACAACAAAATGCACACAAATTACAGTAAAAATTGTTGCACATCATGTTTCAAAAGGCCATACTTGTTTATTAGGTGCATTGTATAACATCATTTAAGGATAATTATACAGTAATGGTCCATATTGATATTTGTTTGTATTCTCTTGTATAAGAAAGCCCAGTCTAACTGCCGAACATAGGAACTGGGTACAGTACCTTCTCCCAGAAACAAATACTCAACTAAAATAGTTTACTTTATTGGTGTTACCAATGCTTACTATTTATTTGATACCAATTTGGTAATACAATTGATAAAAAGAACAAGGTTTGGGTTCGTTCTTCAGATATGACTGTGACGTTAACGTGTAAGCTCAATAATGAACTCCAGCTCAACCAACCATATCGTAATATCTATCCAAGTAATCATCTGGAAATATGACATTAATATTTGTAATATACACACATCTTATTGCGAGGTTGATTTCACATACACTACGCCGCTCTTCAACACTACTTTGATGTTAGCTTGTCTACATAATCGAGCATAGCGAATTTAAATTAACCTTAGCGATGCATACAGTTACCTACCTAATAAAATATCTCTTTAACTTACAAGGATGACCTTATTTTACCAACCTCAAACAGAAGCCGTTGATTCTACAGTATTATCCCACTAAATGCATAACACTTCTCTATTACGTTTTAACTTGGAGGCTACGATTAGCATCGTTAGCACAGATGTAGCTACCACTTGCTTACATGCTAACACAAGCCTTAACATTCATTAACGTTAGCTGACTCAAAACATAAGCAACACATAAATAAAGTACTTGAATTTCACTTACGGCAAAACCGCATTCATGCACCGTCTGTTTTAACTGTAGAGCGAGTCACAATAGTCCGATATAAGCATGAAGAATAGTCCACAAGGCATAACAAACACGGCCGAGTTCAAGTTATGTTGCCCGGATGAGCTGCGCAGGCAGAGCCCCTGTAGCATCACAGAGCTGCTAGCAGAGCAGAAAGCTAACAGCAGCAGTCACTGGACAGACCTGTCACTCAATGTGACCACGCCCTAATTTATGCATAACTTTAAGGCTCGATATAACTTAAACAAATTATAAATGGTAGCAACTCATTAATAAATGGTGATTTGTTTAACACTTTACAAGGCTCCCTTTTGGCAGTTATAAATGTTAGTAACTCGTAAATAAATGGTCATAAAGAGATGCCAAGAAACATCAAGATGGATGGGGGGAGAATCAACTCAGTGAACAACAGATACCAAGGATGCTGGCTGATGAAGAATACGAAGTAAGCTAGTGCCAATATAAGGCTTAGTCATCTTGCCAAATAGTGAGCCTGTGTTGATGTTTGAAAAATATGTTAGAACTGGTTTATAAATGGTTCTTAATGATTAATAAAGTGTTTACAACCTAATTAATAACCTAATTATAAACCGTTTATGAATCCTTTATAAGGGTAGTCTTATTGTAAAGTGGTACCAGATTTTAGTGCAAAATGTACAGCTCCTCTACCACAACCATCAGCAACAATAATAATATAATAATAATAATAATAATAATAATAATCATCGGTCTTATTCGCTGCTTTTGGTGTATTTTTTGGCGGAAATACAGCGCCACTTACAGGCCCGGCATATGTACTACAGCGTCTCCAGAGGGTCGAGCGGTCTCGTGTGGACGGACACATTTCTTGAGCCGATTCCGTGTGGACGGAAGACTTTTTTAATATCGAATTCGGTTCGTTTTCGTCTGTGTGGACGGGGCCTAATAAAGACTGAACGAAGCTAAACTCCTCTCAAATAACATACGTGGAATGTATAGTGGCAAATATGAAGCAATTGTAGTATAAATGGAATATATTAGTGCCTAATAAAGACTGAATGAAGCTAAACTCCTCTCAAATAACATACGTGGAATGTATAGTGGTAAATATGAAGCAATTGTAGTATAAATGGAATGTATTAGTGCATATCAATGATGGAAAATATGTATAAGCCTTAAGAAAGTCATGGCAAAACTACAAACTACCACTCTATAGTCTTTCCATATAACCTGGCAACTAGTAATTAACGTAATGGTTGG